TTGTAAATTCAATAATGAATTGATAGTATATTATACGATTTTTGTACAATTTCTGTTTCGAACGAATAATGTCATATAATAATGTCAATAAAATAACAGACTAAACTATATATTTGGTTAAATTTCATGAAATTTTTCATTAAATCTATTAGTACATATTCGTACCCTAATAATGAAACTAACAGAAAATTAACATATTTAAACACTATTACTAATAATTTCCTTAAAAAAATGATAATTTAATACTAACTAGAGCAGATAAGGGTAACATAACTGTAACATTAGATAGAGATAAATATATTGAGAGAGTTGAAGACATTTTGAGTGATAATGAAACTTATTTAGTTTTAAATAAGGATCCGATTAAAAAATTAATTTCGAACCTACATGACTTACTTATGAGATGGAAAAATAACAATTACATTTCGGTGCAGACATATCGATCTTTGTCTTTCAGTGAGGGAACATTACCGAGAGCTTACCAAACGGTTTACCAAAAATCCACAAAGAAAATTGTCCGTTTAGACTAATTGTATCCTCTATAAATACTCCTTTATATCAATTAGCATTACATTTACACCAAATTATGAATAATTATTTCCCGGTCTGTAATAGCCACATAGAAAATAGTTTCGATATGGTTAACAAAATATCTGATGTTTACATCCAAGATGACTACAAATTTTTATCTCTTGGCGTTATCTCACTTTTCACTAACATACCTATCGATTTGGCTCTCGAGAGTGTTTCCAGCAGATGACAATATATTGAGAATAATTGCAATCTTCCTAAGTCTGAATTTTTAATTGGAGTAAGCCTCGTATTAAATTCTACGTTTTTTACATTCAACAATGTTTTTTATCGACAGTCCTTCGGCACACCAATGGGTTCTCCTTTATCTTCTATCATAGCGGATATAGTACTACAGGACTTGGAAAATAAAGCTCTACAACTACTAAAGTTTAGTCCGCCTATATATTTTCGATACGTTGATGATATAATAATGGCTGCTCCGTCGGATTCTATAGTTTCTATATATATATATATATATATATATATATATATATAAATTGAAAAGAATTTACAGAAGAAAGAGATAAGAATGTTATCTTTTTAATTAATAATAATTTTTTATAGAAAAATTTTAATTACATACTTAAAGTTATAATTTTTTTCACTACCAAGAAGAGGCCACGTGATGTTGCTCTCGGATTTAGATCAACTTTTTACCATTTGTAAGAAGGGGGGAGGTATCCTGAGTACACTTAAAATATTATATGAAAATATTATATGAAAAATACGAGTATAAAATCGTACTGTTTGGTATGTTGTGTAAGAATGTTAGGAGCTCCTCTATGCAAAAGCACAAGGGCGACAAATCATTCGTTGAGATGTAGGATCTTTTAAGTGATTTTAAGGGTTGTTTTTCGAGTATAAGGGTGTCTTCCGATGCATGTATCGAATCGTACTGTTTTGTATGTTGTGTAAGAATGTTAGGAGCTCCTCTATGCAAAAGCACAAGGGCGACAAATCATTCGTTGAGATGTAGGATCTTTTAAGTGATTTTAAGGGTTGTTTTTCGAGAATAAGGGTGTCTTCCGACGCATGTATCAAATCGTACTTTCTTGTGTGTTGTGTAAGGATTTTAGGAGTTCCTTTATGTAACAGCACAAGAGCGACAACTCATTTGTTGAGGTGCAAGAATATTTTATTTGATTTTAGGGGTGGTTTTTCGAGTATAAGGGTGTCTTCCGACGCGTGTATTGCATTAATCGTTTCTGTACTTTGTTTTTGGCCCTCAGAACTTGCTCTATGCAAAAGGGTAATGGCAACAAACCCGTTTTTAGAAAATCGCTTCTGGAACGTTCCAAACTTCAACCAGCTACAAAAAATAATGACCACAGTGAAAAAGTCTTGTATTTTTGCATCCCATTCTTACCGGCGCTTAGTGAACAATATAGAAACATCATTAAAGACATGAATGTTAAACTCTCATTTTACAGTCTTAACAAATTGAATAAATACATAAAAGTACACAAAGATCCTATTCCTAAGTGTTCAAACACCAATATGATATATAAAATAGATTGTAAAGAGTGTAATGCGTCATATGTTGGTCAGACTAGTAGGAAATTATCCACTAGAATATCTGAACATCGATCTAATATACACAGGAATGTAAAAAAATCTGTAATCACTGACCATAGTTTAAAATATAATCATGAATTTTGTTGGGACGATGTAAAAATACTTGATAAAGAATCACTTTATAACAAAAGATTGATTTCAGAAATGATATTTATAAAAAGACAAAATAATAGTCTCAATTTAAAAACAGACATAATGGCTTGCCAATAATTTATGACGATATTATACATAGACTACCTAAGATTTAAAGTTTTAAAAAAACATAAACAACGAACTATTTTTCTCACTTTGCCGTCGTCTTTTGAGAGTCGAAATATTCTCGCGTTGTCCAAAGACTGTCGAAATATTCTCGCGTTGTCCAGAGACTGTCGAAATATTCTCGCGTTGTCCGAAGACTGACGAGTCAATCCTTGCATTGCCCAAAAGGCGGTCGAGGCTTTCTATAATTTTCAGTGTTTTAATCGCATTCGAAAATTTTCTTTGTTACGGTCACGAAAAGTGCCGGTTAGACGCCATTGGTATCAAATGCGTCGTTCGCGCTAAAAAGCAGTCGCCATTTTTATTTTTCTTAGTGCCTTTGTTTACCGAGCTCACGAGTCGCGAGATCCCCGCGCTTTCAAGATGTCTACAGACACATCGATGGAACTCGTCAAGGCGAAATTAAGTGATTTATCTCTTCCTCTCTTACGAGCTGAAGGAAGAAAATACGGCATCATCCTACCAAGTCAAGATAAGGATAGATGGATAGATGAGATCTTAGATCACATAATTAGACAAGAAAAGCTGCAATTAGAAAAAAATTCTGGGCAAACAGAGACGACAATGGAGGAACAAAACCCATCACATTCCGATGTATCAGGTAATTTGAAAGAAAATCATCCTAGTTCTAATCTGTCTTTTAAAATTGACACCCGCGAATCCAGGCATCCCAACAAAGAGAGTTCTCTCATTAAAACATCCACTATCTTACAGCTTGTGAGGATGTTTGTTTTTCTGAGGAGAGGACTCTTTGTTGGAATGCCTGAATTCGCGGGTGTCAGGAAAGCCGCGGGAGAGGCGAACAAAGGGGTCTTGCTCATGAGATGGTTGTAATAATTGTCACACCACGTTTAACTGAACTAATCTTTATTCACGCGCATGGCACATACAAAATACCATGTTCCCGCCGTGTGACTCGATATTATAACTTGACGTATGCCATACAAGTTGTTGCGACGTAGTTGTACGTCGTGCGCTCGACCACACTCCTTCGCTGTGCTTTAGATAATGATGTCTCGATCTTGGTCGTCTTTTTGAGAGTTTAGAACCATTCGTTATAGCAAGCTTGAGCAATCAACATCTGAAAGCCTTCAAGTCAAAAATTTCATCTCACTTGATTTAACTGTAAGTCTATTTTTACTTTTATTTATCTGTGTTTGGGAAACTCTCTGACGTTTGGATTCTCGCGTCTTATTCGCCTCCGCGAATGACGCGTAGCGCGCCGGAAGAAGAGGCGCTACGAGAGGCCGTTAGTGCCTAGGACGAACGCGTGAGGCGCTAGCCTCTTCCTTCGTCGTCCCGCCAAGCCGAGTCGGCTTCTGTTCGCGATCCTCTCTTGAAAAAAAAAGAAAACGTGATCGTAGCTTAGGAATCTTTGTTTTGGTCGATTCTCTACTGTCCGTTGAGACGCTTCTGTTCAGTAATAAAAAGGTTTCCGTTCTGTTCAGACGTTAAGAAGAGATTGATTTGAATATATAATCTTTTTGGATAACTACGAGCTTGGACGCTTTGGAACATTTTAGATTAACCATGAGACGGGAAATATCCCTTGGTTTGGAGGACAAATTCCTTTGAGTTCGTCTGATGAGGAAAGAAAAAGAGCAGTTTGTATTCTTATTTAAAAGGATTAGGATTCGACAAGGTAACAAATCTTTAAAGACTGGCCTAGCCAGGATTCTTTCAAGACTGGCCTAGCCAGGATACTATTAAGACTGGCCTAGCCAGGTTTCTATTAAGACTGGCCTAGCCAGGATACTATCAAGACTGGCCTAGCCAGGATACTATCAAGACTGGCCTAGCCAGGATACTATCAAGACTGGCCTAGCCAGGATACTATCAAGACTGGCCTAGCCAAGATTCTATTAAGACTGGCCTAGCCAGGTTTCTATTAAGACTGGCCTAGCCAGGATTCTAAAGAAGTGGGCTTTTCCCTGTATTCATGATTTTATTAATTTGATTATGAATCTTAAGACTGACCTAGCCAGGATATTAAAGTCATTTATATCTGTTTAACGTATTGAGTCTATTCGCTGCTACGATACTTTTTGTCTGATTTAACTTACTGAGTTTATTTATTGCTGCGATACTTATGGTTGTTTAACGTACTAAGTTTATATTTTTTATAAAATACTAACGTCACTTATGATTGTTAAGCGCACAAAGATTATATGTTTATAAGATACTAATGTCAATTATATTGATTGAACGTAATAAGTCTATATGCTTGAAAGATACCAAAGTCATATGTATCTGTTAAATTTACTAAGTCTATTTACTTCTCAAATATTAAAGTTATTTACATTTGAATTATCTTATTGAGTCTATATGTCTGAAATATACTACAGTCATTCACATTTGAGTTAATTTACTAAGTCTATTTACTTCTCAAATATTAAAGTCATTTACATTTGAATTATCTTATTGAGTCTATATGTCTGAAATATACTACAGTCATTCACATTCGAGTTACTTTACTGAGTCTATACGTTTCTAGAATATTAAAGTCATTTTTATTTGAGTTATTTTAATTGATTTATATGTGTTTAATACTTATGTTTGATTTGACGTCTTGATTTATATGTGTTTAATACTTATGTTTGATTTGATGTCTTGATTTATATGTTTAATACTTATGTTTGATTTGATGTCATGATTTATATGTGTCTAATCCTTATGTTTTATTTGACGTCATAAAATTATCATATCTTCAAGACATTTATGTTTGACTGATTTAAATGAATTTCTATATACCGTTCAGATATTTTGTTTTCTACATTTAACGGTGACTTATGATTTGGATATAATATCCATTATATTCCTTAATCGTTAATATATATATATACATGTGAAGATTTGATCATAATGAGTAAAGTAAATTGTATGCCTTTCTCACAATAAATTTCTGTTATTATATTTTATAAAAGTCCACCAACTCCCTAAGTATATCCGGAACAATCTGCATTATTAATTTTCGTACATAATAATTTTATAGACATATTAACAATGGCAGTTATCGAAATTCGCAACCGACTTCCTAACAGAACAATTAGAGAGAGATTCGTTTCGCGACAATCACATATAATGACGTTTTGAAGAATATATATATATATATATATATATATATATATATATATATATATTACAACAGATATTTATACAACATTAAAGATTTGATACTCTAAACTATTTCTAAAATGAGTTTTCTTCTGAAAAGATGTTTTTAATTCAAAAGAATTATTTATAATTTATAATTCTTTTATAAAAATGTCTTATTAATAATTATATGTAAAAATATGTATAATCAGAACGTGAACTTGTTTTGAAAGAATGGTTTTAGTAATTGTAATGATTTGTCTAAACAAGAATCAGTCGAGAATGAAATTGATATTAGAGGTATATAAAGATAGCATTTTATAAAGTCAACTATTTTTTATATCAATTTTAATATATTTAAGTTTTTATTTTCATATATAAAACTAAATATTTAGTATTTCGATTATTCGAGAATTAATTCAAGCACTTATAAGTAGGTAAAAAATTATTTTGTGGGCATAAAACGTTGTTATTAAGTTATATAACAGTACTAAGTATGAAGTAATAATTTTGTTAATTGATAATTATAAAATTATTTGAAACGTATGCTATATTACATTATAATATTAATAATGGATAATGATTGTAGAACTTCCAAAATCAAAGAGGGACGTTTGAATTAACGCTCTATTATTATAATTTTGATAAAAATAAACTGGTTGGGAAAAATCTATAAATAATTAGTGTCTCGTGCTCTGCGAGATCGCGGCAAGCGAAAATCCAATTATTTTAAATATATTGTAAGTAATTATTATTCTTATTTAGTTTGAAATTGTCATTTGTATTCAAAATTAGTAAAATATCTAATTAACGATAAACATTTTAATCATTTTTTACATCAAAATTGAAAGATGAAATAAATGCAGATCACAAAGACAAATTAACAAAAAAGAAGTAAGTACTAAATAAACTTCGTGAGTATGTAGGCAATCGGATCGCATTTAACAATATTTATTTAAAATATTTTGTACACCGCGATAATCTCAAATATCAACGATTAGACATAATTATATTAATTATTAATATTTTAATAATTTTTTAGAGATAATAGAGAAAAAATTGAGGGACTTCCTCATATTACTGTAACAGGGCTGTTAGATGTAAGTAATAATAAATATAATAAAAATTTTGCATGCCCAGGTCGGGAATAATTCTAATTTTATTCAATTTTTATTTTCATGTACTGAATAATATAATCGATACTGGCTCAAAGGATAACAGTTCCAGTTTGTAAGTATTCACATTAATTGTAAAATGATCACATGATCAAATAAAAATTATATTCTCTTTGCAAAAATTTATAAAAATTTTTAATTTATTTTAATAATTTTTCAGACCATCTAGAAGTCCAAAAATAATGAGGGACGGCTTAAGGTCATTGTACCAACTTGAAGTGAATATGCCACCCTTCACAAACATAACTGAATGTTCATCTATGACTAATTTAAAGGTGATTCATTTATTTAAATATAACTTAGTTGTAGCTTAAATATATGATTAAATATATCAAAAAGATATAATAAATGATTAAAAAATTATATATTTACAACGATAAATAGATTTGTAAGGCATTGCTGAATCACCAGACCATATATAAAGAGATAAAAAACATAGTAAAGAAAAAGAGTCCTTGCAAAGTAATAATAGTAAGTATTACCTGTTAATTTATAATTATAATTAATAATTATAAAATTATTAATAATGGATAATAATTGCAGAATTTAGAAAATAAAATGAATAAATCCTTCAAACTAACCATATTTTACTATAACTTGGAGAAACACATTTTAAAAGACCATAATATTTTAAAAGATTTGACCATTTTCATATGCGAGGTAAAATCGAGAAATAATCAAAAAATATCGAATATATCGTAAATAACCTTTTTTATTTAGCATTAAATTAAAATTTGTATTCAAAACTAGATTATCTAATTAATAATAAACATTTAAATCATTTTTTAGAACCACATTGGAAACGGACCTTCAGAACAATTGGAAACAAGCAGAAAGAGACTAATTTATAGTAAGTACTATAATAAATAAACTTCGTGAGTGAATGTGGGCAACCGGGTCGCGTTTAATAATTATTTATTTATATTTTAATAATTTTTCAGAGAAACTTCCAAGAAAATCGTGGAGGAACCATGTCCACAGATTATTGTCACCAAGGTGTCACATGTAAGTAATAAATAAGTAATAAATATAACAAAAACTTTGCATGTCCAAGTCGGGAATTAATTTTAATTTAATCTTATTTTATTTTTATTTTTATTTTGAGAAAAATATATCATTAGCAGAAATATCAGCAGAAATATCAAATACAGAAAATTGTAATTTGTAGGTATTCAAATTTATTTAATAATTTTCATATAATATTTTATTCAAAACATTTAAATTTATTTTAATAATTTGTCAGACAACTGTTATAAACTAAAGACGTATCAGAAATTAGAAATGGTTGCAATGCAAAAATTGAATTAATACCATCATTGTCTCACATTTCATCATGGACAATGAGTGAAATGGTAAGTAATCCATTTATTTAAATATAACTTTATTGTAGATTAAATATATGGAAAATTAATAATTAAAAATATATATTAAATATATATTAAAAATGTATTAAATATACAGGATCCCTCATTTATATTTATTTCTTAATATAAATTTTCTTTTTAAAGTAATAATTCTCTCAAAAAATGTACGTCACCAAGTGCTGAGAAAAAGGAAGTCAAAAGAGCGAAACTTTGTAAGTATTCAAATTCAATTTTAAAATATGTTCGCCCGTTAGTTGGCGCGTAACAAACTTTCTCTTCTCTTCTCTTTCGAATCTTACTCTCTTTTTCATGTTTGCTCTCGCCAGCTAAAACAATTTGTAGATTATATTCTGAGATCATTTACAAACTAGGCATGCGTATTGCAATTTTTTTTACTGTTAATGTATGTGGAACAATAAAATATAATAATTCACAAACAAATTATAAAAAAATCATTAACTGATTTAGAATTCAACGCTATAAAGAAAATTATCAACGAAATTAATGATAAGATTTATTTAGATGATTTCAGCTTTTGGTAGACTATAAATGTTATCGTTTAAATTTTAAATCGTCAAGCATATTCTTCTCTTTTTACTTATATATTTATTATTTTATCACTGTTTTTTAGCAAATACAGTTTTTGTATAACATATACAAGTTTCCTCTAAATCTTTTATAATTTAACGTTCGCTATTAATGCTGAAAAATAAACACTAACAATTTTTTTAAATCGTTCGATTACATTTCAATATTCGTTTTGTAGGCGATACCACGGGTAGAATTTTCTTACAGCAATAGAGTATGCAGAAAATTATTTGGATGGATAAACCATATGTATATCAGTCAAGCCGACAATGTGGCTTTACATGATGACAGCGTTTATGTTCACATTCAGTGGTCGAACAAGATATTTTTAGGCATATAACGTGTCGGATCGATCACGAATATTTGAAAGAAACCTGCCTCAAGTTGCACGATAATAAGGTGATAAAGTGCACATAAAAATTACTATGCACTTTTTTTAAAGGAGAGGAAGCGGAAAAAAGAGAAAAATGCCGTTATTAAAGTATCGAAATAATAGTTTAATAACAGCGTGAGATCAAATTCAAATTCAATTATAAATTTTTAATTTTGCATACAAATATTAAACTTGATTACATTGATAACTTGTACGAGAGATATTCATGCATATGATTATCTTATCTGCATTATATTTACAACAGTGCAACTATAATGTAAGAAATAAATGCTTATTAATGGAAAATAAGCAGCAGATAAGAAATTGTTATCAAGATAATTATTAAGTTAAATATTTGCATGTTTCAGTAAATTTAATAAATATATTCTCTCGCGCCACACATTATCCTTTCGCATTTACATTCTTTATCGTTCCACCAAAACTTATTCATTAGAAGCAATAAATTAAATAAAGCACACAAAAATTCATAAAAAAGCGAATTGATATCTCAAATTTTTTACTGAACTGAATAAGCAAGCAATAATTTTCTTTACCCGTATTTTTCGAAACTTTTTCTTCCACGTCGCTAAAATTGTGTTGATACTCAGAATAGCATTTTCATAAGCCAATAGATTATTTGTCATTTCTCAATTATGGTCCAAAAGAGAATATCTTGCAGATAATAGTCGGATTTTTATCGATGGAACGACGTTGCTGGACGTGTGATGTTTTATTTCTTATCATCTTGGCGCGGACGTAAATTACTGCTTGTCCTTGGCGTGATAGACAAATTTATCTATTCCTTTATGGTCCTGATCATTGGATAATGGAGACTTGGAAATTTGCTTTGTATACACATTGGATGAATTTTCCGTGTAACATAGAATCCTGAAGATGATGATTCTAGATGTCATTTATCTCAGCACGAAGCCATCTAATGAGTGAGAGCCACATTAGTTCTTGACAAAATTATCCGCTCGAAGAAAATATAATTATGTCCACTTTCTTCAAAAAATTTGCGAACGACGCAAATTTTTAAGATTTTCTAGATTCTTACGTTATTTAATTTAAATAAGATAAGCTGCATATTTATTATGAAATTTTGTTGCTTTATCTTGATTGTAAACGTTGACAAAATATATTAAATTCTTTAATTTTTTATGCAATTTAATAACTGCATTTGACGAGTAACGTTTCTTCTTTTTTTGCAGGAGTCGTGCTTGGATTTTATATCTTCAGCCACTCGTCCTATTTGATTTTCTTTGTAAACGCCATGTTGCTTGAGCTAGCCATTTTGTACTCGTATGATTTAAGTAGCAAACATCACCATGACAGCAACAGATGTTCTCCGGCATCAATTCTTCTTCTTCTTATTTTTTTGTTGACAAGGAACAGATGAATAGTTAAGAACTGATCATACTGCCAGAGTACCTTCAAATAATATTATATAAGAAGGCTTGATATATAATTTTAGAGGAAACACTGCAAGCTTCTTCTTGTATATCGAATAAAAAGATTATCATCAGTCTTCTTCGTCTTCTTCTTCTTTTTTTGTTGACAAAAAACAGATTCAGGAAAAGAAAAAACCCATTTCAGATGTAGACTTTATTGATCTTGGAATGGGGTGACAGACTTCAGTAACTTCCAATCGAAGAAATTCCAATCGACTTTCTTTGTGTTAAGTCAATTTGGCGAATGATTTGTTGAATTAAGTCGATCATCCATTTCACGAATCCTTATCGCAATTTGTAGTTTATAACATGTATTCTGAGAGATACGCGCGATTGAAAGGAGAAATTTCTTTTTTCAAAATCGATAACGGTTACTCTTAATTAATTTATCTTATTCTCATTGCGTCTATTAAAATTATAAAATTACTTGCTTTTTTAAAACGCTTTTCTCAGATATTATATATATATATATATATATATATATATATATGTGTGTGTGTGTGTGTGTGTGGTTGTACACATACATATATAATGTATGTGTATTTATATTCGCTCTTTTTTTTAATAAAAAAATATTAATAGAAACACAAAAGGATGAAACGTAATGGAATTGGAAACTTTGTTCCAATGTTCATCGGGGTGAATATATAATGAGTAAATTGATAGGAATGAGGAAATATTTATCGTAGCAATCAAAACAATATTTGCGGATCGACAAGAACTGTTTTACGTAGATAAGTGATACAGTTTTGTGTGTATTTTTGTCAAAAAATAAAAAATATTAAATCTTCATATTCTAAAATATATTATATGACCACCGTATGAGAAGAGATATTTATATAGTATGCATGACAAATAATTAATATATGATCATTCTGCAGATGTTGCTGTTTATGTTTAGAACTCGTGGTACCTCCTGTACCTCCTGTACATTGTTAGATCCATGACTTCCAAACTTGCAGTCATAAAAAAACAAAGTATACTTAAAAATATTTGTTACGTTTAATTTTGCAGCAATAATTTTAAACTGATTTCATCACATATAAATAGATTAATATACAGATATAATTTCTATCTTTGATATAAATGTGCAAAAAAATATGCTTGACAATTTTTTCCTCAAAATTCGAATCTATCATAATCGATTTAAATAAAACACAGATTGTGTTTAAAGACACAGATTACCGTGCTTTTATCATATAAGTGAATTCTGATTTTTCTAATATGTTTGAAACGTTTTTGTAAAATTATTTCTTTTTATAAATTAAATATATAACCAAAGTTAAGATTCCTGATTCAGCCGACTTCCGGCCCAATATTTTTCTCATTTATTTATTTACAGTGGGATTAAAATAAGGAATAAGGGGAATTTTGTGATCTCAATTGATAGATAGAATTCCCAGTTTCTTTATTTTTTGCAGTAACATCGCGTTGGCTCGTTTAGCCAATATATATATTTATATTTATTTTTGATTTATTTATTATTTTGATTTATTTATTTACTCTAGAACAACTGAAAAAGCTGGCAAAAGCGAGAGAAGTCAGATTAGAGTCTACATATCAAGTAAATCTAAATGTAAATAAAAATTTAATAAGTATATTTATTGTATATATATATATTGTGACGTGACATTTTGTACTGTCCGTCACAAGGGCCGAAGGCCCGGCCGAGAAGGCGGGAAATTCGGGAACCTTTGCTCTCTCGCCAATCTTTGAGAGAGAGAGAGAGCACCCGAAAAACCATTTTTGCGTTTACTACCGCGTCGGAGGATGCGCTTCGCGCATCCGTTTCGCGAATTACTTTTTGTATGATTTTTGTTTGAGCGATTTTTGGCGTTTTCGGCGAGCAATTTTGTCTAGGGTGCGTGTCTCAACCGAAGAAACCAATAGAGAGAAAGGGTGAGAGGACGGAGAGGACGAATAGAACGATTGAGGACCGAGCAGAAGCCACCAAGTCCGGATCACGCCCGGTAAATATCATTTTCACCTAGATTTTCTGGATTGCTCCTCCCGTTAAGAACCTGTGTACCGCCGTAAAATGTTCCTTCTTCCGCAGAGATTCCGGCCAGAGACGGGGATGGCCACTCTCTCGCGAGAGGCGAGAGAGCCCCGGAAACGAAAGGCGCGGGAGATACCCTGCCTCGAGCCCCGCAGATCCGGATACACAGAAATCCCACCATCGATCAAACAATCGATCTGGCGGATTTTTGGGAGGAATCGCAAAGAGGTGCACTCGTAGGAGTCTTCCCGACGGCCCATAAAGAGGAATAACGGAACCCGAAGCGGAAACACCGAGGAACGGCGAGGGAAAATTTACATCAAGAAAATTCGCAGGGCCCCGCGGGGTACCCGGCGGCCCTGCCAGGATAAGGAGCGCCACGGGTGGAAAATGCCAAATTTAGTATCGGCGTGATCCCGGCAGGCCTCTTGCTCGTCACTGTCTGGCGGAGCGTCGACGAGAGCGGAGGTTCCTGCTTTGGATGCCGAAGCCTCGAAGGACCCACCGATACCGGTGAGACGAACGGCCCTATTTACTTTGTAAAGCCGCTAACTTCTTTCTTTTTTGTGAGTACCGTATTCGGGAGAGAAGCGTGTCACGGCCGCGGCCGGTTAATAGATTCACCGGTAATTTCGTGATTTTGAGAGTTTGATTTAGAGTTTCGTTCCGCGTAGAGTTTATCCCGGCGCCCGGCCGACCGCGTGCTCTCTCCCGCGCGTATATTAAGAGAGGCTCTCTCTCCCGCGGATACGCCGACAGTCGCCGCGATTTTTGTCACGTTAATGTAAAAATTAAGGTATCGTCTTGTAATTACTGTACCGTTCTCGTCTGTTAGAGCTTCTAGATCGGGGAATAGAAAATTATTTAGAGTCACGCATCCGAAATAGCGTATTCTCTCTCGCGCATATCCTTATCCGTGCCGTCTTCGGATTCTTTGTGAAATATTGCGAGGGACGACCGGCGTGAGCGATCTCAAAGGAAGTCGCGCGGAACCTACTCGAGTTTACGGAAATTTTGTATTGCCTAAAACCATCGGAATTAATTACGTCGCACGGACCTTATTAAGTCTCGTGCGTTAATAATTATTCGACACGTAGGCGTGCGAATTTACTTCCGGGTCCCGCGTGTCGTCCGATATCATCGCGTCGGGTCGTCTCAAAGGCGTGGAACAATAACAACGCGCCGCGTCTCGGCCGTACATACGCCGTATTGTATTTTTCGAATCACATTTCGGCCTCGTTTATCTGTACTTCGGCGTTATTAAAGCGGAGATATCTCCGGAATCTATCGAACGAATATTACTTTTCGTTCTTGACCTAACATTGTACTCAAGATCTCATACAATTATTTTTCTGTCTATCTTCGTTCATCATTGTCTAAATATATTTAATGTTTGTTATATTTGAGCGATTTCAAATAGCCTCTCTCAAATTCCGTTCTCTCTCCCGTCCGAACTCCCCCCTCTACCCCCTGACGATCTGAGCGAGTCGATTATCGCCGTCGCGGAAATTTTCGGGATACTTTACTGATTATAAAGGTCATTTGTCGATTTGGAAATTTCAGAGTGGCGCGAATCTCGCGCCTGGCGCCCAAACAAACATATTTTTTTTGTGTTTACGCGAATTTCCCGCTTTCCGCGCCGAAGGTGTGCCGTCGGCCACTTACATCGGCCCTATTTCCCGGATCCTTTTCGATCCGACGGACAATATAAAATCAACGGTTACAATATATATTGTTATATCCCCCAAAGATATACAATAGATATAACTATTAAAAGTTAACTAATATTAAGAAATGGGTACTCGTATTGCATCCGCAATTACGACAGACACTGACCGCGTTAAAAAACGCATACAATGCGAGGTATACGCGGAATCAGAATTACGACAGATAATGACCGCGTTAAAAAACGCATACGATGCGAGGTATATGCGAAATCAGAATTACGACAGATAATGACCGCGTTAAAAACGCATACAATGCGAGATATACGCGGAACAGAAATTGGTCAACGTGCAAGCAAAGCAGAAGGACTTTGAATCTGCTTCGCTTGCACCTAGATTCTCGACCGGGGAAACCTGTTGCCAGGCACCCCTTCCGATCGGGAAAACTCCAAAAAACAACGATATAAAAAGAGAGTAGAGACGCGACAGCTCGCTCAGTCGCAGACACAAATAATCGCTCTAACCACGAGCTCGCTAACCGCGCGCGCACTTAGCATCGACTCGCAGTTGTGCGCGATACGCGGAGTAATAGAAAGTCAGTGCCGCACGCACGATAAAGCTTCAGTGTATTAATAGTGAAATAAAATAAAGACCAAGTGGTTGAAGTTGAATAAAGAATTTTAATACAAAAAGTGTAGTGCATTTTCTACAAACACCCGACAAGTCCTGACGCCCCGGATTCCCATCCCAATTTGGCGCGACCCTTAAGTGTCTCTCCCGAGGCACACAACAATATATATACTTATAATATAACATTATATGTATACTTATAAAGAACAACTAAAAAAGCTGGCAAAAGCGAGAGAAGTCAGATTAGAGTCTACATATCAAGTAAATCTAAATGTAAATAAAAATTTAATAAGTATATTTATTGTATATATATATATATATATATATACACTTATAATATAACATTATATGTATACTTATAAAGAACAACTAAAAAAGCTGGCAAAAGCGAGAGAAGTCAGATTAGAGTCTACATATCAAGTAAATCTAAATGTAAATAAAAATTTAATAAGTATATTTATTGTATATATAGATATATATACTTATCATATAATATAACATTATATGTATACTTATAAAGAACAACTAAAAAAGCTGGCAAAAGCGAAAGAAGTCAGATTAGAGTCTACATATCAAGTAAATCTAAATGTAAATAAAAATTTAATAAGTATATTTATTGTATATATATATATATATATACACTTATAATATAACATTATATGAAAATCTCTCCTCCAATTTTAAAGTCGACCAGACTGGCAATAATTTATTTAAAAAATTAGTTAAATTACAACGTTTCGGCTGTCATTGCAGCCCTTTTCAAGTAATCAGATTAATACAATAAATCAAATTTACAGCAAACCCCCGACAAAATTAACCATTGTTTTGATGAACAATGTATAACTGACAGAAGTGAGCACGAAAAAATAGATGTTGACTGTTAACAGGAAACTTAGTCACTTAGTGACTCATCATGAAAATATACTCATCATATACTTATCGATCCGAGACACCTCAGCAGTGGTTTCCAAATAGTTATTATATATCTACCTGCATCCAAGACGCATGAGCAGGAATCTCTTTCCCGCTAAATATATATATATATATACACGTGCACGAGCGCTACAACAGTTGAGCTACCAGAGGACCACTTGTCACCGTCGAAAACTGTAAGCCGCCTCTCGGGTAGCCGTACATAAGTGTTGGTTGGTGCCGTGGGTATCGGGAACATAGAGTAATTACCGTGAGTACCGTGTCCTCTCGTATCGTATCGTTTTGTGTTGGAGAGAGCGGTCTCTCTCTCTGAGTACCGTGCCGCGGGGCCAGCCGACTTTGAGTTTCGCGAGCCGAGCCCTATCCGAGAAAAAGTGCCGCCAACAGTCAATCGTTTTGAGAGCGAGAATCGTAAATTCTCGTCTACCGATATATTCAGAGTAACGTTAATTATACATTTGATCATTAGATTTTCGGAATTTGCGTGCAGCCGTTCTCCGCGAGTGTGTTTCGCGAAAGATTTCAATTTCGACTCGGCGAGAGAATCGTGCGAGAGGGTCACGAAATTACCTGTTACCTTTTTTTGTATATCGCACCGTGTCTTGAAGTATATTTACGTGACCTCTGCATATACCGCGTGTCCGCGATAATAAGTCTGAACCGCATACCGTTTACCGATTTTCTCTTTGTGAATTCCGTTCGTATAATATTGTCACGCAATTGTTTAAAGAATTTAATGTTGTTATAATTAATAAGAATGTAATATATCGATTTCGTCATACCGATATATCCGCCTATATATATATTGATATTGTTTGGGAAACTCTCTGACGTTTGGATTCTCGTGTCTTATTCGCCTCCGCGAGTGACGCGTAGCGCGCCGGAAGAAGAGGCGCTACGAGAGGCCGTTAGTGCCTAGGACGAACGCTTGAGGCGCTAGCCTCTTCCTTCGTCGTCCCGCCAAGCCGAGTCGGCTTCTGTTCGCGATCCTCTCTTGAAAAAAAAAGAAAACGTGATCGTTGCTTAGGAATCTTTGTTTTTGGTCGATTCTCTACTGTCCGTTGAGACGCTTCTGTTCAGTAATAAAAAGGTTTCCGTTCTGTTCAGACGTTAAGAAGAGATTGATTTGAATATATAATCTTTTTGGATAACTACGAGCTTGGACGCTTTGGAACATCTTAGATTAACCATGAGACGGGAAATATCCCTTGGTTTGGAGGACAAATTCCTTTGAGTTCGCCTGATGAGGAAAGAAAAAGAGCCGTTTGTATTCTTATTTAAAAGGATTAGGATTCGACAAGGCAACAAATCTTTAAAGACTGGCCTAGCCAGGATTCTTTCAAGACTGGCCTAGCCAGGATACTATTAAGACTGGCCTAGCCAGGTTTCTATTAATACTGGCCTAGCCAGGATACTATCAAGACTGGCCTAGCCAGGATACGATCAAGACTGGCCTAGCCAGGATACTATCAAGACTGGCCTAGCCAAGATTCTATTAAGACTGGCCTAGCCAGGTTTCTATTAAGACTGGCCTAGCCAGGATTCTAAAGAAGTGGGCTTTTCCCTGTATTCATGATTTTACTAATTTGATTATGAATCTTAAGACTGGCCTAGCCAGGATACTAAAGTCATTTATATCTAATGGTGATGCCGCGTAACCACCGGCGCGGCGGCGAGTTTGACATTAGGATTCGTTACGTCAGCTGTTAACAAACGTGGTCGCTTTCGCCGCCGTGCGATTGCGATCGAGAGTCGCGCGCGCTTCTTGCCGCGGCAACACCCGGGATAATGGGGTTAGGCAACTTCCGATTGCGACTCGTCATCGTCTTCGTCGTTGGTCTCCTGCTTTGGCAGACCTCGAAGATTTGGTTGGCGTTCCTACAAGGCGATCTGCAAGAACTTCAGGTGGGCCAAGCGGCGACAGCGTTGAGCCAAAAGGATGACCCGACTCATCAAAAAGTACACGTGGCCGTCTATTACGAAACACGATGCCCGGATTCGCGTTATTTTATCGCGAAACAATTAAGACCAACATACCAGAAACTTCCGGCGAATATCGAATTCGAATTGATACCGTACGGAAAGGCTTCGACGGTGAAGACAAACGACGGATATCAATTTGTATGCCAACACGGATTCGTGGAGTGTGAAGCAAATATTATACACGCATGTTCCATCGACGTTATCAAGGACCCGTCGATACAACTGCAATTTATCACTTGTATGATCGAAAATAACGACAATCCGATAGGAATAATGCAAGAGTGCGCCAAACGCATATCCGTGAATTTGGAGTCCATACAAGAGTGCTACAGCAACGAAAAGGGAAAGGAACTCTTGGCCAATTATGGCAAGCTGACGAACTCGCTCGGGCCAAGATTGTCTTTTATACCGGAGATTACCTTAGATAAGAACTTCGATCCCAACGCTCTAAAGTGTATTTCCTATGTATATATTATTTCGTTAAAATGCGAATAAATGATCATTTCTTATTTATTTCTTGCTACGTTCAAATGAGGTTTTTTTATATTTTTTATTTTTTTATATTTTTTTTTATATTTTTTAACATCAACTGACAACTTGTTATGTTTAATAGCTCTTATAGCCCTTCTTTGTTTACAATTATTCATTTATATCTGTTTAACGTATTGAGTCTATTCGCTGCTACGATACTTTTTGTCTGATTTAACTTACTGAGTTTTTTTATTGCTGCGATACTTATGGTTGTTTAACGTACTAAGTTTATCTTTTTTATAAAATACTAACGTCACTTATGGTTGTTGAGCGCACAAAGATTATATGTTTGTAAGATACTAATGTCAATTATATTGATTGAACGTAATAAGTCTATATGCTTGAAAGATACCAAAGTCATATGTATCTGTTAAATTTACTAAGTCTATTTACTTCTCAAATATTAAAGTCATTTACATTTGAATTATCTTATTGAGTCTATATGTCTGAAATATACTACAGTCATTCACATTTGAGTTAATTTACTAAAAGTCTATTTACTTCTCAAATATTAAAGTCATTTACATTTGAATTATCTTATTGAGTCTATATGTCTGAAATATACTACAGTCATTCACATTCGAGTTACTTTACTGAGTCTATACGTTTCTAGAATATTAAAGTCATTTTTATTTGAGTTATTTTAATTGATTTATATGTGTTTAATACTTATGTTTGATTTGACGTCTTGATTTATATGTGTTTAATACTTATGTTTGATTTGATGTCTTGATTTATATGTTTAATACTTATGTTTGATTTGATGTCATGATTTATATGTGTCTAATCCTTATGTTTTATTTGACGTCATGAAATTATCATATCTTTAAGACATTTATGTTTGACTGATTTAAATGAATTTCTATATACCGTTCAGATATTTTGTTTTCTACATTTAACGGTGACTTATGATTTGGATATAATATCCATTATATTCCTTAAGCGTTAATATATATATATACATGTGAAGATTTGATCATAATGAGTAAAGTAAATTGTATGCCTTTCTCACAATAAATTTCTGTTATTATATTTTATAAAAGTCCACCAACTCCCTAAGTAGATCCGGAACAGATATTATATTCTTTCCATACCGCTAGTCTCAATATTAATGTTTATTATATAATTATATTGTCCATTTATATTAATCATCTGTAAAATTGTAGTCCTAAGTGTTCGAAATATATATGTCTATTCATAGCAACATGTGTATGTCTTTCTAAATACCTCTCTCTCAACCATAGACTAACATCCTATGGACCCGCGCGACTCATTGCCGAATTCTGAAGAGTTACCTTAAGTACCGTTTTCATTAGTATCGTGGCGCATTCACATGCGCCTGGCGCCCAACTTTACCGCGAGTTACCAAAAGTACTGAAGTACGAGTAATTAACTCTTTTGTTACCGATTTTTAACGTTTTAATGTTTGAACGAGTAGAATATTTAAATTGAACGCTCCCCTGTCCGAACTTGGCGTTTCGGAGCAGGAAAAGACGTTGCAAAGAAAAATGGATAGAAACAATAATCTTTTAAATAGAAATCGATTTAACCCCAATCGACGGGACTCAGAATTTGGCCGACGGGAGACGCAAAATTGGACCACCCAAAATAAGACCAATAACAATAACCGTGATCGGCAATCCAAACATTATCAGTTTCATTGTCCTGTTATATATAATTATACAGGTTAAATTAATTATCTTAATTACAGGTCAACATTCGTAAATCTTTCGGATCTTTCAACCCATATATCATCTTTGATATTATAATAAAAATTGTTTCTGAAGTGAGAAAGTAAATAAGTGTTTTTATCTTAAAAATCAGGTAAAAAAAGTAAAAATTATTATGTATATAATAATACATGTCCTTAAAATGTCGTATTCCTAACTCGATTCTAAGACGATTTTACAAAAATTTATTATTTTGATTAATTTATTTACCATAGAACAACTGAAAAAGCTGGCAAAAGCGAGAGAAGTCAGATTAGAGTCTACATATCAAGTAAATCTAAATGTAAAACAATAACCGTGATCAGCAATCCAAACAGTAAGCCAATTAAACATTTTTATATTCTATTTATTTTATTACAATGCGAATTGTTTTTATTAGTTTGATAAATTTATTTTTGATTTATTTATTATTTTGATTAATTTATTTACCCTAGAACAACTGAAAAAGCTGGCAAGAGCGAGAGAAGTCAGACTAGAGTTGGTCTACAAATCAAGTAAATCTAAATGTAGAACAATATTTAATAAGTATAAGCTGCATAATTTCATAATTTCCTCGACAATTTTTGCTTTCATGAGAAGTAATTTATAAACAATATTATGACAATAATAGATCTAATAATTATGACGAGACAAAAGGAAAGGAAAGGAGTAGGAGAAGACATATGAAAACATTGAAAAACATTCGTTTGACAGGGGTCTTGCGATACGCATAACTCCCCACAGCGTTTATATATTTTTAAGTTGATCATGTTATAACGTATCTTTATATTATATTTGAGTACACTTGAAAATGACCCGCAACAAGGGTCGAAACGTCGTGTAAAATAAATAAAACTTTTGCCTGTTAGAGGTCAATGCTTAAATTATTTATTTATTTTAAATATTATTTATTTTATCTTTTATCACTTTATTTGGTAAGTTGATTTCATATTTTACTTTTTTTTTCCCAATTACTTTATAACTATATTTAATAATTATTATCTTATAATAATTTAAAGCAACGGTGCTGAAAACGTCGCAACACAAACGCAAATATCTGAGCACAAGTCAGAAGAGAAAATTGAAGGAACAAAAAGAAATAGAAATAGCAAAATGTCAAAAACTTTCAAATTTTTTTTCATGCATATTTTCGGCTTCTCAGAATAAAGCAGAAAAAGAAGAATGTAAAAATAAAGAAGAAATTAATGAGTATGCCGATCAAATTATTCAAAATAAGAGTATGGAAGACGAAATCCATGATATAATTGAAAAGGTAGAAAACTTTGATAAATATAAAGATTTAGCATTATGGCCTGATTCAATTAATAAGAAATTCATCAATAACTGTCTTTTAAAAGAAGCATCGTTTTTTCTCAAAATAGAAAGCAAGATAACTTTTGTTTTGATTCAAATAAATTTTATAATGGTCAAAATAGAAAATTTAATAATAAGTATTTCGAGAACCGTTTAAGAAATGGACAAAAACTAATTAGATCATGGTTATGTTCTTCTAATAGTAAAGGATGCGTTTACTGTTTAGTATGTAAAATATTCTCAGTATCACATACATCTCTTGGAACAACCAGTTTCTCTGATTGGACTAATCTAATCCGAACTCTAGACAATCATGAAGAATCGATAGATTATAAAAATGCAATGCTAATATGGTTAACACGAAAGAAAAATAAAACTCGAGAGAAGGTCGAGAGGAATAAAGTGTAGATTGTGGTTTTAAAAATAAAACTATTATCGATAAACTATTTGAAAAACAGATTAAAAATAAAACTGAATATTATTACAATGTCCTAATGCGTGTTGTTGCTATAATTAAATATCTAAGTGAAAGAGGATTGCCAGTGAGAGGCCACAATGAAAAGTGGGGATCTCCACACAATGGTAATTTTATGGGACTCGTAGAATTAATTGCAGAATTTGATCCTTTTTACGAAAGCACATCGTAAAATGTCAATCTCAGCAAAGTAAAATTTTAAGTTATCTGTCAAAAACTTATGAAGAAATAATTGAAATAATGGAAAACGAGTTCTAAGAGAGATTGTTAATAATATTAATGAAAAAGACACTAAATATATATTATTCAGTCATTACTGATTCAACACCAGATTTCGCACATACAGACCAACTTGCAATAATAGTAAGATACTGTACAAAAGGGAAAATTTATTAAAGATTTTTATCGTTTTTACCTATTCATAGTCATACGGGTTTGTCTTTATTTAATACTTTAAAATGTTTTTTAGAAAAATTGGACTTCCTATTGTCGTGGCCAGTCCTATGATAACGCTGCAAATATGAGCGGAAAATATAATGGACTGCAAACACGTTTGAAAAAGATAAATAAGTTTGCTGATTATGTACCCTGTGCAGCACATTCTTTAAATTTAGTTGGGGTAGAAGCAATAAATATTGTACCTTGTATGAGAAATTATTTTAGTATTGTTCAGCAATTATATGTATTTTTTTCGGCATCTACGCATAGATGGAACATGTTAAACGATGCAAATTTACTTCTTTCCATAAAAAATTTTAGTCACACAAGATGGTCTAGTCATTATAAAACTATACATGCTTTAAAAATTAGTTACGATACTATTTTAGATATTTTAAAAAGTATTTTTTATAATAATTTAGAAAAAGTTAAATGTAAAATAGAAGCCAAAAATGTATATAACAAACTCTTGAGATTAAAAATCTATATTAATATCTATCTATGCTATCTATGTTAATATCTGCTGTATTAACTGTACTTTGGGAAGAGATTCTTGAAAGATTTAATAAAATTAGCAAACATTACAAACTCCTGGTTTAGACTTATGTGAAGGTTATACTTTAATTTCATCTCTTGAATTATTCGTAAATATCATTAGACAGAATTATGATGAAAAATTAATTGAGTATATGAACTGAAAGCAAGAGGAATGAGTTCCAAGATTGAATAAAATTATAGCGACATAAATCAAAGAATTAAAACAAAAAAATATGCAAATGGTAAGAAAGGTAAAGATACACGGAAAAAAATAATATTGCTGTTGCAACAAAAACGTTATAGCTATTGTACTTTTGATGTAACAACGATAAAACTTTGCTGTTATAACAAATTATTTAATTTATTGAATGGTGCAGCAAAATCTATTTAGTTGAAAAGATAAAAATTTAGCTGAGTTAATTTGTTCATACAAACATATTAACTTGCTATTAAAACAAAATAGTCCATTTCTAACAAATTTATTTCATTAGTACAGTAAATTCACTATTGCTGATACAAATTTATCATAACAACAAAGAAAATTTGCTATTTATATAATCGATTTTGTAATATTAGCAAAATTTCACTTGTCAAGAGAATAAGAAAAACTTCGCTGAGTAAATTTATCTTGTAACAAGATTGTTATCGCATTAAAATATATAAGAAATATATATGTGTACAAAAATATATATAAATATATACAAAATATATACAAAAATATATATAAAATATATATACAAAAATTCAAAAAATTTTTTCAAAATTATATATATACGACCAATAGTACATCTTTTTATTTATATAAGAGGTATTTCGATGACGCCGTGTTCGCCGAGTATGATCTGGCGAAAACCGGGTTCGTCTAGTAACAAGCCCGGGTTTGTCGAGATGAAGATGAGGCATCGATATTATAATGATATACATATCAGTGATCACATTATACATATCAGTGAGATGAGGTGCTGTGATCGTTATTTGTCAATGTTTTCTGCACGTCGCTATGTGAAGTGCATCTGTTTAACGTTCCGTGCTTCGTCGTTGTACAACAGCATAGGAAGAGCAAATTCTTTTTGCGGACAGAGCAAATACATCAGTGACAGAATGGTACAAGAGTTGCTTGTTGATTGGGGAATGCCCGAAGAAGTGATCTCGAAATTTATAGGTAAGTAAGAAATATTCTCACCCGTCCGAGACAGTACGCGTGTCTAAAACAGTGTCTAGAAAATATTCTAAAGATATCTTGTTTTTTCTTTACGTTTTTTAAATAAGACGGCATGCTGTGAATGATTTGCGTGTATGTGTATATAGCATGTATGTATATGTGTACGTGTACATTTACGTATGTATGTGTGTGTGTGCATTTGATCATTTGTGTGTGCGTGTGTGTGAGCGCGTATGTGCGCGAATTTATTATAAAATATAAATTAAATTTTAAACAAAAGTATTATCTAATAGAACAGGGAATAGACGAAATTGTGTTAAAAAACATGACTTCAAAAAATATCGAATCATTAATACCTAAATTGGGCCAAAGAATAAAATTTCACTTAAAATTGAAAGAATGGTTGGAAAATAATAATTTAGTTACTGAGCAAGAAACTGATCAAAATAATATAATATTGCCCATAACTGATCAAAATAATAAAGAAATCGATGCTGAAATTATTGCTGATTTAAACTTACCAGTTATCGAAACTACGGCAGACGAAATTAAAATAATTAGCACATTAGATGCTTCCGATAAAACTGCAGAAAAATATGTAAGAAAAATATATCAATTATATTCTTCTATTTGATTATATTCTTCTACTTTTGTTCACATATGTGTTCATTAAAATATATTTATTAAAATAAATTTTTTACAATTTATATACAGGATTTAAAACAAATAGTATCTGAAAGTACTCGAGGGAAGGAAGCACTTTCATTTCATAAACAAAATAATCGACTTACTGATCGTCTCCGTAATTTTATCGCAGATTGCGTTATATCTGCCGAGCTCAGTACAGATGTCGATAAAAGGTGCAGTCTTATTAACATTAATTTCATTACTTCAGATGTAATTTTAATTTGAGAAAATATATTTTCCAGAATTACCACAAACCGGCTCACTTTTTGGTTGAAAAATTATCGAGCTATTTCCCACTGAGCATATGGTACAATTTTACTTTTCTTATATTTTAAAATTTTTATGAAGTTTATAATATATAGGTATATACTGCATAACTTTTAATCGTAATCAAAATATTTTCTTGTAAAACTTGCCTTTTTAGATAACTTGGATACAAAAAAATAAAATAAATAGTAAAATAATTTACAAAGGAAAATTGTTAAATAGATATTATAATACAAGAAGATCATTGATTAAATCTGGAATGATCAATAAATACTATAAGTCTAATAACGAAACTTTACCTATTGAAGACACTGAAGAAAACCCTGGTAAAAAAAAATTTTATAATTTCCTAGAAAGTTTTAGGATAGTTTCAGAATTTTTGAAAAAATTTTAGGAAAATTCCATAATTTAAATTTATGAAGAATTATGAAATAAAAAATAATCACATTTATTCAGATTTATAAATATTTTTTTAGAAAATTATAAAATAAGAAATCTCTTTTACATTTACATTTATGAGAAATTCTTATAAAATAACATTTTTGGATTGTTTTTCTGAATACTTCTGAAAAAAAAGTGTGTCAATTTCTATAGAAAATCTTAAATTTCCTGAGAAAGTTTTGGAATTTTTATTAAAAATCTGAAAAAAATTTCATGAAGAATTCTGAGAATATTTTTCACATCCATGTGTTCATACATCGACTTTTTTGAAAAATTAGAGCACTAAGTTGACTTATGTATATAGTATATTATGTTGTATATTTTTTAGAGCAATATCCCCAAGATGTAAAAGATCATCTTGAATGGTTACGACATAATATACAACCATGGTCAAGAGTTCTGAGCTCTTGGGAGATTAAGTCAAAAGCTAGAATTCAACAATTAAGAATTTGTGATAAAGGGAAAAACAGAAAAAGATCTAATATTTATGATTATACCACAGAGTATCCTGCCTTAAATACACTAACAGAATATTCATTGGTATCATTCGTTTTTATATGTTATGTTGTCAATACGTTCATATTATTAACATTTATATTGTGTTTTATTACACATAATTATTTTTTAATTAATTATGTAAATATAATAATTACTTCTTTCATTTAATTATTTCAGTTTGAAATAGACTTTGATGCATTATACCCTGGATCTGTCCTAAAACTTTACGGTGAATGGCCAAAATTATATAATTTCATTCTAAAGAAATTAGAAAATGATTCTGTTATATCACACGAAGAACTGACAATAGGTAAAAATTTTTATATGTGTTATTTTTATATGTGTAATCAATTAATGTAAAAACCAATTTAGATTTTAATTTTATATTTCTCTATAATTCTCGACAAAATTCAAGAGAGAATTCTATTTATAATTTTATACATATTTTTATACGTATTTTATACTTTATACATATTTTAATGTATGCATATCTTACATATCTTACATTAAAATATCTTATATATCTTATATTAACATATATTTTATTTTATATGTATATTTTTCTGCATTAAAAGGTGTTATTTGAATTACATAAAATTTATTAAAATATGTACAAAAATTTTAAATTTTGTCACAAATTAAAAATTATCTGAAATAAACTTTAGCAATCTAAAATTGGCAACAAAATTAGGAAAAAAATTCTGCTTAAAATTTTATGTCTCATACAATCTCAACATTTAAAAAGTAAAATATATTCATACACAGAAAATTTTATATTAAATATTACTATAGTTGCAGTAGCTACGGACCATCCTGTGTATTGTAAAAATGTTTACTATGGTAAACAATAGTTTACCATAGTAAAAATTTTATTTGGCAGCGTTAAAAAAGCACTTAATTAAAAAGCATAATATTTTGCCAAATAAAAAGCAAAATACAATATCAAAAAAGCAAAATATGATATCTAATAATTTAGAAATTCAAGAACAAAATTCAAGTTCTAATTTTAATTTTGAAAATCATAATGCAGAAAATAATATTTCTTTTGAAGATGCCAAATTATATATTGAAAATCAAGCTGAAATGTTCATTGGAAAACTTTATAATAATTATTCTATTCCACGTTGTCATGCACAGACTATTATAAGTGATACTCAACTTATTTTTGAAGAATGCGTACCTTTATTATGGAATAAAATAAGAGATATGTGTATATCTATAAATACTGATACTACATTTATAAATGATATTGATTCAATATTTGACACTATAAAAGGCTGTTTTAAAAATTTCTCGACTGAATATAAGATATTCAAACATTTTGAAACATGTGGAGAATACATTCCACCAAAAGAATATTTAATAGGTCATAAATTAGAAGGAGTAAATACTCGATGTGGAATTCAAGCGAAACATGTCCCGGTTTATGGTCAGTTTGTAGAATTAAGAAAAATATTGGGAAGATTTCTTGAGTTACCGTATGCACTTGAAAGC